GTTAGTGGACACGAGCTTACCGAGCTGAAGGGGTGTCTCAAAAAGCAGCTGGGAGGGGCTTCTCGGGGAGGGTCTTCATTGGAGCAGAAGGAGAGAGAAGAGGCAGCAAAGGACTGTGCTGTGTCTACACTACCAACGGGGAGATTTAAACAAAGAAGGAGAGAGGTACAAAAGTGATAAAATATCTCGCCATTTAAGGGTAAGCCCTGACAGCTCATTTCTAAACTTAGTACAGTAAATTCCAGGGGAAGCCAGAGTTCAGATTGCGGGGGCGTAAAGGAGTAGGTAGAGCATAAGAGGAGCCCGTCTTTCATATGTTTAGTCAGTAGCAGTTTCTTCATTGTGCACATTGGGCCCTGTCTTACGCGACTGCGCTGGACACTGGCTGGACACATGATAAATCATGAGTACCTGTCCCCACGGGTCCGTTTGTTGGTTACTAAACTTCAATTCTAGGTGTCCACCAGGGGGCGTCAGAACCCAGGTCCGTGGTGCTCCGTTGTGAATAGTCACTGTTGATGGAGGGTTTGTAATCTGCTGGCTCATTTGCCCTCTTCAGTGGCTGGGCAGAAGGGGCAGGCGCGGGGGGAACAACCGGCAGCACCCCCTCCCAGTGCCCGAGTAAGGTTTTGAAACTGTCTGAATTGCTTGGGGGCACGTGAGCCCCGCCCATCTGAGCAGTTCCAGGGAGCTCTGGCTTGCTTGATAGGGTAAAGGCACGGTCTGTTCTTAGTCCTGGGAGGACATGGCCTGGGTTGGCAGATAGCCCCATGCCTAAGAATTCCTTCAGAAATCCCTCCCCTCACCTCCACTAAGAGACAGATGGTCCCCTCCTGACTAAGAAATCTTCTGCCCTTTATCAAACTGGATTGTTGGCTCAGATACCAGACATGACCCACACCTCACTCCCCTCTCCCCTCTCCCCTCAGCTCGAGCTTTATTCTAGGCACTGGGGCTGCGCAGGGGACCAAGGAGCTGCCATTTCTGATTGCGTCCCGGAATCAACTGGGGAGCGTTTAAAAACTATGGATGTTGGGGCGCCTGGGTGGCTCAGTTGGTTAGGCAACTGCCTTCGGCTCAGGTCATGATCCCAGGGTCCTGGGATCGAGCCCCGCATCGGGCTCCCTGCTCGGCGGGAAGCCTGCTTCTCCCTCTCCCACTTCCCCTGCTTGTGTTCCCTCTCTGTCTCTCTCTGTCTCTCTCTGTGTCAATTAAATAAATAAAATCTTTAAAAAAAAATAAAAAAAAATAAAAAATAAAATAAAAACTATGGATGCTGAGTCTCACCCCAGAGATTCCAATTTAATTATTCTGGAGTGGAGCCTGGGCATCTGTGTTTAATTTTCGCTTATTTTAAGTAGTCTCCACACCCAGTGTGAGGCTTGAACTCACGACCCTGAAATCAAGAGTCACATGCTCTACCGACCGACCAAGCCAGCCAGGCGCCCGTGGGCATCAGTGTTTTTTAAAAGCTTCTCATGTGATTCTTATGTGCAGCATCTCTGGGTCCAAAGCCTTGCTACTCAAAGTGTAGAAGCTTGATAGAAATGTAGGATCTCAGCATCCCTTTCCCTACTTGCTGAATCGGAATATGCATTTCAACAAGATTCCCCAGGTCCTTCAGTTGCTGAATGACACTGAAGTTTGAGAAGCGCTGATATAATTAGTACATTGTTCTGCTTCCCCCATGCTCTCACCAGGCCTGAATCACAGCCTCCACAACTTTCTCAAGCTGGAGCAGTGGCTTTTTGGAGCACAAGTTTTTGACTATGACCTACAGAAATAGATTTTTATATCAAGAAGTAGAGCGCATGTGTATATATAATGAAACAAAAATGTCACAAAAAAACAAAACCTTTACTACCTATAAATGCAATTCATCTAATATTGTTGGCACCCACTGCATGGTAGGCATTATCCCGGGCGCCCGGACCAGTCTATTCGAAGACAAAACTCTCTGTCATTGCGCATTTGGGGAGGGAGGAGGGTTGTCAGAGAGTTAAAAATAAATCCTGAGTACGAAGGGCATGTTAGATTAATATAATAACATTTACTCTAAAATTAAATTTGGAGGTACATCTGGATGCTGGTTATATATGTCCTGTTTCTTGATCTGGGTGCTGGGTATATTCACTTTGTAAAATGTGCAAGTTTTTGCACTTCTCTGGATGTATGTCATACTTTAATAAAAAGTTCAAAAAATTATTCTGATATTTTATATTACATTATTGTCCTCTTGCACTAAAAAAAAAATCCAGTCAAAACCCACTGAACCCATTGAATTCAGTTCACCTCCCATTCATAGGCTGCAATAGTACTTTAAAACATCATTGCTCTATTAAAAAAAAAAAGAAAAAAAACCTTCAGCCCAATCACTCAGCAGCATCCACCATCTTGGCTGAGCACCTGTTTGCAGGTATGGGCCAGGCTGCCGGTCACCACCCCACGGTTGCCTTCCTTGCCCTTCTGTATACCCCCCAGTGCAGCCATCCCACGGTGGAGATTCTTTTTTTTTTTTAGTTATTTTTTTAATTTTTAATTTTTATTTATTTGAGAGAGAGAATGAGAGAGAGAGTGAGAGAGAGAGCACAAGAGGGGGTAGGGTCAGAGGGAGGAGCAGGGAGCCTGATGTGGGACTCGATCCCGGGATTCCAGGATCACGACCTGAGCCGCAGGCAGTTGCCCAACCTACTGAGCCACCCAGGCGCCCTCACGGTGGAGATTCTTTTTTTTTAAAGATTGTATTTATTTGTTTGGCAGAGAGAGACACAGCGAGAGCAGGAACACAAGCAGGGGGAGTGAGAGAGGGAGAAGCAGGCTTCCCGCCGAGCAGGGAGCCCGATGCGGGGCTTGATCCCAGGACCCTGGGATCATGAGCTGAGCCGAAGGCAGACACTTAACGACTGAGCCACCCAGGCGCCCCTCACGGTGGAGATTCTTAAGGACACCCCCACAAGCCTCCCTCAGGCAGCTTGGTCCGCCTCCACTTAGAACGAGCCCCGACAAGCCCTTCTCCCTGCAGTCACTCTGCTGTGGGCAACTCTCCTCAAGTTCCAGATCTGGAAGAGACTGGTACAGGCACGTTATAAGGTTGGGGTTTATCCCCACAGCCACCTCCTGAAGGTCCAGAGCTTTATGCTTCTAGGCTGTGTCTCATTTCCTCCCATAAGCTGTCAGCTCCCTGGGGGCAGAGCAGTCTCCTTAGGTGTCTACAGGCTACCAGTCCTGGGCTTGCAGAACAATGCAGAGAAGGAGACAGACAGCCTCAGAGACCTCTCCATACAGCCCCCAGTGCTCAGTGGTGGTGGCGGAGACATCCAGGAGTTGGGACTAGGCAGGATGGGGGAAGGGAGCAGGAGCCCTCTCTTCTGTAAAACTAAAGCTCCAGATAACCTTGCACTAAGGGTGTAAGAGGCATGAATCTGGCTCATGGGCAACTGGAGAGGGGGTGGAAGAATGGGGAGCTGACCTCCTTAAGAAAAACACCTAGTGGGATACAAGTACCTCGACCTCTTGCTTTGTTTGGTTTGGAGCTTGATTTATAGGCAGAAAACTTGCTCCAAATTAGTTGTTTGCATCTCTTGACCCCCCAAATCCAGTCAGCCCCAACGCATCCCAAGGCGAGGCTTCTGGGTTCGGCATTGCTTTCTTGTGTGTTCGTGGTTCCGAGTGGACTTTGGAGTCAAAAACTGGATCTGAATTCTGGCTTTAATACTACCAGCTGTATGACCCTGAGCAAGTAACTTAACAATCTTTAAAATGAGGATGGTAATGTGTACCTTATTTGGTTGTGGTGGCAGTTAGATGAGAATACATGCCAAGCAGGGCTTACCCATGGGAAGGTCCCATAAACCTTAGCAATGGTCATTATTGAGGTAGTGTAAAGGAGCTTGGGAGGGGACTCCTCTCAGATTCCTTCCCCTCTGGCTTTCCCCTCTGAGATCAGGCAACAGGGGGAATTTGGCCATACCCAGAGGTTGTCAGTCCTGCATGCTCTAGACCCTCTCTTGGATCAGCTAGTGTGCATTCACCCTCTGCCTGGGCTTGGCTTCCTGATTAAGGGAAGCTGCTACAACATTATCAAATGATTTAGTGGAGGGGCACCTGGTGGCTCAGATCGTTAAGTGTCTGACTCTTGACTCTTGATTTTGGCTCAGATCATGATCTCAGCATGGGATCAAGCCTTGCGTTGGGCTCTGCGCTCAGTGGGAGTCTGCTTGAGATTCTCTCCCTCTTTCTTAGCCCCTCCCCCTGCTCATGCTCAGCTCTCTCTCTCTCAAAAACAAATAAATCTTTAAAAAAAAAAATGACTTAGTGGAAAGTTGCCCTGCCTACCTCACAGGACAAGACACCATGACGCAAATCCACCCAGTCCAGCCCCCCCATATGTGTCTGGAACCCATTCCTTTTTCATTGCCCTACTGCCCTCTGGCCAGGGCCCTTGGGCCCAACGCCAGACCATAGGGGTGCTGAAAGAGCCATATTACATGGTTCTTTGATGTCTGATCCTTGGGACAGTTCTCTCTGGACTTGTTTTATTATTGTACCCATTTTATAGATGAGGTAGTCAGTAACAGGGCCAAGTGGCCTTAAGCCTTTGGGTTCTAGGCACCATGGCTCAAGGCTGCCTTCAGCTAGCTAGGGTCTGGGTCTGAGGGCTGCACTATCACTGGGAGGAGGAGCTCTGAATTTTCTCCTTCTTTGTGGGAGCCCGGAGGAGAGCACCCAAGAGGGAGCAGTGCAGGAGGGAGGAAGGTTCCTTTGCCAGGGACTTTTTCTGCCTGTGTTCCCAGAAGGAAGTGTCACAGGCCTGAAACCACCTCTCCCTTGTTGAAATGTCCTCCTTTGGCCCCAGGGAAAGGATGGGGGTGTCCCAGGTTCCCAGGCCTCATGGCTCCTGCTGAGAGATTAGTCCCTCTCTGCAAATACTCATTGGATTGTGGCCTTGGAAACTTTCCAATCCAGCCTCCCCATTTTAGAAACAAAGCAACTGAGACCAGATGGAAGTGACTTTTCACACTGTCACAAGGTAAGTCAGCAGGAGCTGAACTGCTGCTACTGAGAATTGGAGACTCCTGTTTCAGTGCTCCTCCATTGGGCCCGGTTGACTGCACAATCTCAGTGTGAACGCCCTACCTTCGGCTTCAGGCTGTCCTCCTGTAGGCACATAAGGCGCAAGGTGGGTCTAGGGTGGGGAGATTCCGGTCGGGTGAAGAAGGGGGATTGGTGGTGGGACCGAAGAAAGGGGAGAGGGGAGGAGCAAGCGAGACCTGGCCCCTTAAGAGGGAGGGCCAACCCCACCGGACCCCGCCCCCTGGGGCGGCGCACGCGCAGGCGGGCTCCAGGAACTCAGGCGGGAGGGCGGGCGCTCTTGGCTCGCGGGCCGGCGCGCGGGGCCGCAGCACCTGCGGGGGCCGGCGCTGGGCGCGGCGCCCGGCGGGCGGACGTTGACGCCGGGAGGCTAGGGCGGGCCCGCGACGTGGGGGTGGCCGCGGAACCGGAGGGGACGCCAGCCCGCAGCCCCCTTCCCAGGGGGACGGGGCGGAAGGAGCTGGGCGGGGGGGGCGGTGTGAGCGGGCGCCGAGGGCAGCACCATCTGGAGGGGTGGGACCGCGCGGCCTCTTGGGGGCAGGCGAGTGCGCTGGGCAGTGCGGGCTGGGGGCCCCGGGCGGGGGGCGCAAGAGGAGCGCGGTGGGCTGAGCCCGGCGCTGCCGGAGCAGCAGCCACAGCGGGTCGGGGTTCTCAGCTGGGGCCCGCAGCAGCTCCGCGGGCTGAAGCTCGGCGTGGAGGAGCAGGGGGGCGTGGGTCCGGCCGTGCAGGAGGAGGGCGGGGTGGGCCCGGGGGTGCAGGAGCGGGGCGGCCGTGGCCACGAGCCCAGCCTGGGGGTGGTGTGGGGTCTGCCGGACGGCGCGGACTGGAGGCGCCCACCGCGGTGGACGGGCTCGGCGGGCTGGCCTGTGGTGCAGGAGGAGGGGCTGGGGCCCCGCAAGCAGCACCAGGAGAAGGGGGGAGGCAGCCCCGCAGTGCAGGAGCGTGGGGAGGCCCGCGCCGGGGTGCAGGAGCAGGGGGAGGGGAGCCCACGCAGGCTGCTGCAGCAGTCCGAGCCGCTCTCCGAGTTCGGGGAGCGCGGGGAGGGGCTTGAAAGTTCCGGGGAGCAGGGGGGGCAGTACTGGGAGAGCTGTGGGCACTTCAGGCGGGAGGCGGTGGTCCTGGGAGCGGCCCCAGCACGCCGGGAGAGACTCGAGCTAGCGGGGAGGGCCCGGCCTGTGGGGCCCCAGGGGCCTGAGGGGGAGGGGCGCCTGGGGGTGCAGGAAGCAAATTGGCTTCCTGGGGTGCAGGAAGGACAGGTGGTGCGGGCTGTCCAGGAGACATACCTGGACGAGAAGGGGTCCCAGGAGGCAGAGGGGCCCCCTGAGGGGCACAGGATCCGGAGGCGCCGGCGGAGGAGGAGGTGGTAACCGGCAGGCCGGCTGCCCGGCACGAGGATCGCTCCAGGGCCGAGGTGAGCGCAGGATGTAGGGGTTTGGGGATTGGAGCGTTGGAAGCCACTGCCCGAGAGCAGGCAGTGTGTCCTGTTGGATCCTCTTCTGCCACCTCAGCCTGGACCTCGTGGAAACTGTCTGCAGGGAGGCAGCAGAAGGCAGCAGGTAAGGAAACGGAATTCTCTTCGCAGCGGGAGTTGGTGTGTTTTGAAGCAGGGGGCTGCAGCTGTTTCAGGAGAGGGTGGTCTCCAAACTGCTCGTGTTCACCCTCCTGTGTTTAAACGTGGGGAGGGAGGAAGCAGTGCAGTTTTCAAGAGCGAGACAGGATCCCTCCCCCAACTACTAAAAATGCCAACTGAAGTGATGGGGCATTTCCTTAGCGTCTAGACTGGAGATGAGACTATCTGGGCGGCTGCCAGGCCTGGGCAGAAGGAGGAGAGGGGTAGCCCCAGGCTGAGGTTGCAGAGGAGGTAGCCACCCCTCTAGCTGTCTACCCCTGTTGATGGGGTGCCTCCATGCCAGGGCTGGGATGGTGCAATCAGCACAGGTTTCCTCAGGTCCTCAAAACACATTCCATAAAAGGGAAGGGGCAGCATTGCATTAACAGGATCTTATCTAGTAACCGTTTGCCGCGTGATCTGAGATGTGCGTGTGGCTGCTGGCGACTTGAGCTCGAACCTGACCTGCTCCCATCACACCTTCTTGTCACAGCTGATTAATAACATAGGGCCCAGGGCCAAGGATGAATAGGGGCAGAAGGGCAGAGAACTGCTGGTGAGGCCTTCTCGGGGTGGGCTCTCAGGACCCCAACCTGAAAGGGGTGGTTGAAGAGGGGGTGTCTGTACTGCTGGACTCTGGGCATCCTCTGTGGCCCAGAGCTCAGCCCCACCCATGGAGATGGACAGAGGGGCAGCTGTGGCATCATGGGTTCTGTACTGGCCAGGGCCAGCTCCTAGCCCAGCCTAGAGGTGGGGCTTGCAGGGGTGGGGACTATATTTGGCTTCTTGTGGACTGCCCCATGGTCTGGGTACCAGGCCTACTCATTCCTGGCCCAGAGGGGCTTGGTTGGCCAGTGTTTGGGCCTCATCCTCCTAGGGTTGTTCACCTCTTACCTGGCACCGTATGAGTTCCTGCTTCTCTAGCCCTCAGGTTGGGGTGGGTGCAGGGTTGCTGCCGGCCTCAGCTGGGTCCCATCTTTGACCCAACTAAAGGCGTGGTCTCTGAGTCAAATGGCCCCTAGACCCTTGTCTGAACCTGTGTGGTTGCAGATAGTTCTCTCTTGTCCGGGCAGGGGGAGTAGTGGTGGTGGTGGCTGCCCAGCAAAGCCTTAGGCAAGCAGCTGCTGGGACTGTGCTGGAGGAGCCGGTTAGTCTGCTCCTGATGCAAACCCCAAACCGACTGTCAGCTTCGTCCCACGCCTGCCTGTCACACTGCCACCCCAAACACTCATGCACCGGAAGTTCAGCTGCTGTGTCCATGGTACCTGGCCCTTCTGGGATGGCCAAACTGGTTCTGGCTCTCTGGCTTCAATGGAGAGAATTGTCTGTTCTAAACATGTACACACATATATCTGTATCCTAGTTCAGGTCAACTTGTTTGAATTTGTGGTAGATGAGGAGAAGAACTTGGACAGATCCGGATTTAGACCACTTCCTAGCTGTGTAACCTCCTGGGGCAAGACACTGTCTCTGGGCTTCGGTTTCTGTGCCGTGGGCCGTGATTTTCCCTACTCTGTCCTGAGTGTGGAGGGCTCAGACCCCTCTTCGGCTGTCTGGTGCCCGCTTTCTCGGGAGCCCTGGCTGGCAGATGTCAGGGAGCAGGTGTCTGTGCTCCCAGATCTTGTCCTCTGGTCCCTAAATCCAAGATTATCCCCTGCCCTGTGCTTTATTCTGGAAAATGAAGTTTTATTCTTTTTGTTTTTAATGACAGCTTTATTGAGGTATAATGATATACAGTGAATGGAACATATTTAAAACAGTAAGTTTCAACGTATGTGTATATCCGTGAAACCACCACCCCGGTCAAGATAATGAACATTCCTATTACTCCCAAACCTCCCAGAGTTTTTTGTGCCCCTTCCTAATTCCTTCGTCCTGCCCCTCCTTTGCTATCCTTTTTCCCCAGGCAATAGACTGGTCTGCTTTCTGTCACTGTACGTTAGTCCACATTACCTAGAATTTTATGTCAATGGAATCAGACAGAGTGTGCTCTTTTTTTGCCTGGCTTTTTTCACTCAGCATAATTATTTTGAGATTCATTCCTGTTGTGTATTTCAGTAACTCCTTCATTTTGATTGCTGAGTAGCAGTCCCTTTTATGTATATACCACAGTATATCCATTCTCCTGTTGATGGGTTGTTTTTAGTTTTTGGTTATTACAAATACAACTGTGAACATATGTGTAAGTGTTTCTGTGGCCATCTTATTTTATTTCTCTTGGGTAAATCCTTAGGACTGGAATTGTGAGTCATACAGTAGGGATACATTTAACTTTTAAGGAAATTGCCAGACTGTTTTCCAGAGTGGTTGTACTATTTTACATACCTGCCAATTGTGGATGAAAGTTCCAGTTTGTCCACTTTTTTGCCAACACTTGGTGTGATCAGTCTCTTTAATTTTAGACATTCTAATAGGTCTGCAGTGGTTATCTCATTGTGATTTTAATTTGCATTTCCCTAATGACTAGTATTACTGAGCATCTTTTCAGGTGCTAATTTGCCATTTGTATATCTGGTGCTGTGTCTGTTCAGATGGTTTACCCAGGGGCGCCTGGATGGCCGAGTCATTAAGCATCGGCAGTCAGCTCAGGTCATGATCCCAGGACCCTGGGATTGAGCCGCACAAGGGGCTCCCTGCTTGTCCCTCTCCCTCTGCCCCTTCCCCTGCTTGTGCGCGCTCTCTCTCTCTCTCTCTCTCTCTCTCTCTCTCGGTCAAATAAATAAATAAATAAAAATCTTTTAAAAATAAAACGAAACAAGAAAAAAATCCTTTACCCATTTTTCATTCTTGGGGTTTTTTTCGTATTCAGTTTTGCAAGTTCTTTATATATTCTGCATACAAACCCTTTATTGAATATGTTGGGATTGGATATGTTTGATTGCACATATTTCCTTCCAGTCTTTGGCTTGCATTTTAATTCTTTTAACAGTGTCTTTTGACAAGCAGAATTTTAAATTTTAATGAACTCCAGTTTAACAACTAGTTCTTTTATGGTTTGTGCTTTTGGTGTCATGTCCAAGAAATCTTTGCCTAAGCCACAGCCAATGGTTTTCTCCTGTTTTTCTTCTAGAAGTTTTATTTATTATTATTTTTTAAGATTTTGTTTTTAAGTAATCTCTATACCCAGTGTAGCGGCTTGAATTCACAGTCCCAAGATCAAGAGTCTCATGCTGTACTGGCTGAGCCACCCAGGTGCCCACTTCTAGAAGGTTTATGGTTATGGGTTTTACATTCAGGTCTGTGAACCGTTCAGGGTTAATTCTTGTATATGGTGCAAGGTATGAATTGAATTTCAGCTTTTTGCCTGTTGAGATCCAACTATTCCAGCACCATTTGTTGAAAAGACTTGTCTTTACATGGAATTGCCTTTGCACCTTTTGTCAAAAATCAATTGTCTGTATATGTGTAAAAGTAATTCTGGACTCTCTTTTGTTCCATTGATCAATTTGTCTGTCTTTATCCTAGTACCACACTATCTTGATCACTGTAGATTATGGGAAATCTTGAAATTAGGATAAGATCTTGAACTTTGTTCTTCCTTTTCAAAATTGTTTTAGTTACTCCACGTTCTTTGCACTTTCATATGAGTTTTAGAATCAGTTTGTTAATTTCTACAAGAAAGCTCACCAGGATTTTGGTTAGGATTACATTGGATCTGTAGATGAATTTGGGGAGATGTCCATTATCTTAGCAATATTGGACCTTTGGACCCATAAACAATGTTTGTGTCTGTATTTATCTGGATTTTTAAGAATTTCACCAATGTTTTGTAGTTTAGGTATACAGATCTTTCACATTTTTTGTCAGATATACTTAAGTATTATGTATTTTTTATGCTATTGTAAATGGTGTTTTTACATGGTGTTTGGCTTTTTTGTTTATCTTAATTGTGGTAAAATATATATAACATAAAATATACCATTTTAAGCATCTTTCAGGGTATAGTTCAGTAGTGTCAGGTACATTCACATTGTTGTGCAACTATCACCACCATCTATCTCCAGAACTTTTTCATCTTGCAAAATTGAAACTCTGTACCTATTAAACAATAGCTCTCCATTCCCCCTCCACCCCAGCCCTTGAAGCCACGTTGCACTTTATGAATTTGACTATTCTAAATACCTCATAGGAATAGAATCATACAGTATTGTCCTTTGGTGACTGGCTTTTTTCACTTACCATGCTCAATGTACTCAAGGTTCATCCGTGTTGTGCCATGTGTTAGAATTTCCTTCTCTTTTAAGGCTGAATAATAATCCATTGTAAGAATATACCACATTTTGTTTCTCTACTCATCCACTGGTGGTTGCTTTCACCTTTTGGCTGTTGTCACTAATGCTGCTATAAAATGGTGTTGTTTTTAAATTTCAATTTCCTGTTCCTATAGTGTATATATAAACACAACTGATTTTTGTATATTGACCTTGAATCCTACCACCTGTTAAATGTATTCTAGGGGTGCCTGGGTGGCTCAGTCATTAAGCGTCTGCTTTCGGCTCAGGTCATGATCCCAGGGTCCTGAGATCAAGCCCCGCATCGGGCTCTCCGCTCTGCGGGAGGCCTGCTTCTCCCTCTCCCACTCCCCCTGCTTGTGTTCCCTCTCTCGCTACGTCTCTGTCAGATAAATAAATAAAATCTTTAAAAAAAATGTATTCTAGTAGCTTTTTTTTTTAGCTTCCATTGGATTTTATACATAGACTACCATGTCATTTGTAATAAAGACAGTTTTACTTCTTCCTTTCTGATCCTTATGCCTGACAATTATTTCTTTTTCTTGTCTGATTGCACTGGCTATGTCCTCTGGTGTAAGGTTGAATAGAAGATGAGATTACTTTTTCCTGATCTTCAGGGAAAGACATTCAGTCTCTCACCATTATGCATGATGTTAGCTGTAGGTTTTTCATATATGGTCTTTATCAGGTTGTGCTCCCTCTTTTCCTATTTTGC